GTTTTTGATTGGGTTGTTTGTCTTTTTATTGTTAAGTTGTAGACATTTTCCATATATTTTAGGTATTAGACCCGTATCAGTTATATTGTTCCCGAAGATTTTTTCCCAGTCTGTAGGTTGTCTCTACTCTTTTGATAAAGTCTTTTGATGAACACAAGTAACTTTTATGAGGTTCCAGTTATCTGTTTTGTTTTCTGTTGCTGGTGCATTCATTGTGTTTGATAATCTATCATTTAAAAAAATAGGTCCCAAAGGTTTGCTCCTATGTTTTCTTTCAAGAAGTTTATGGTTTCAGATTTAACATTTAGGACTTTGATCCATTTTAAATTAGTTTTTGTGTATGGTGTGAGGTATTAAACTTTTCATTTTTCTGCATGTGGAAATCCAGTTTTGCCAGCACCGTTTGTTGAAGAGACTGTTCGTTCCCCCATTGGATGGATTTGGCTTCCTTGTGGAAAATCAGTTAACCATAGATGTTTGGATTTATTTCTGGATTGTCAGTTCTTTTCTGTTGGTCTATGTGTCTGTCATTAAACCAGTACCATGCTGTTTTGATTACTGTAGCTGTGTAATGTGTTTTGAAGTCAGAAAGTGTGAGGCCTCCTACTTTGTTGTTCTTCAGAATTGCTTTGGCTATTCGTGGTCTCTTGTCTCTCCATATAAAATTGAGGGTTAGTTTTTCCATTTCTGTAAACAATGCTATTGGAATTTTGATCGGGATTGTGTTGTATCTGAAGATCTCTTCAGGTAATATTGACATCTTGACTTACCTAATCCCCGAGCACAGAACATATTTCCATCTATTTAGGTCTTCTTTAGTCTTACAGCAGTGTTTTATACTTTTCATTGTATTAGTCTTTCACATCCCTGGGTAAATTTATTCCTATTTTATTCTCTTAGATGCTATTGTAATGGAGTTGTTTTCTTAATCTCCTTTTCAGATTTCTCATTGCTGGATTGCTGGTGTATAGAAATCCAACTGATTTTTGTGTGTTGACCTTGTGTCCAGCAACTTTGTTAAATTCCTCTCTTAGTTCTAGAAGCTTTTTAGTACATTCTTTGGTATTTTTTATATATAGGATCATGTCATCTGTGAATATAGTTTTACCTTTTCCTTTCCAATTTGGATACCTTGTTGAGACTTGTTTTATGGCCTAGCATATGGTCTATTCTGGAAAATGATCCACGTGCACAGGAGAAAAACGTGTATTGTTCTGATGATGAAGGGGTGTTCTATGTATGTCCATTAGGTCGAATTGGCTTATGGTATTATTTAAGTCCTCTATGTCCTTACTGATCTTCTTTTTAGATGTTCTGTCCAGAATTGAAAGTGGTATATTGAAGTCCTCAATTATTATTGTGGAGTTGTCTATTACTCCTTTCATATCAGTATTTATTTCATATGGTACAATGGTTAAAGCACTCAGCTGCCAACCAAAAGGTCAGTGGTTCGAACCCACCAGCTGCTCTGTGGAAGAAAGATGTGGCAGTCTACTTCTGTAAAGATTTCAGCCTTGGAAACCCTATGAGGCAGTCCTACTCTGTGCTATAGGGTCACTATGAGTCGGAATCGACTTGATGGCAATGGTTTTTTTTTTGGATTTTGATGTTGGGTGCATATATACTTAAAATTGTTATGTCTTCTTGGTGAACTGTCCCTTTTATCATTATGTAATGTCCTTCTTTATTTCTTACAATACAGTCTAATTTAAAGTCGACTTTATCTGATACCAGTACAGCCACCCCCACTCTTCTGTGGTTACTAGTTGCGTGGAATATTCTTTTCCATCCTTCTACACTGTCTGTTTGTATCCTTGTTTCTAAGGTGCGTCTCTTGTAGGCAGCATAGGGATGGATCATGGTTTTTAATCCATTCTGTGACTGTGTCTTCTGAATGGGAAGTTTAGATCATTTACATTTAAACTAATTACTGAAAATGAAATACCTACTTCATTCTGTGATTGTTTTTTGTGTGTCTTACATCTTTGTCCCATTATTTCCATATTTCTGCTCTTTTTTGTGTTTTGCTGCTTTTTTGGTGTTGAGCCTTTTTGATGTCTTCCTTCTTCCCTTCTGTGTATTTTCTCTATTTACTTAGTGGTTACCACAAATATTACATTGAACAACTTACAATTTTTAACAACTTAGTTCAGCTTGCTGCCAACATTTAACATACAAATAACAAGTAACATACATTAAGATCCTAAAACTCTATTCCTGATTTGCTCCTCTGTCCCTCCCTTTCTGTTGTTGAGTCTCCAGTTACATCCTTGTAGATCCTATATCCGATAGGTTTAATTTGTATTATTTCTTACGCACTTGATGTTGTATCACTTGTGGAACTGTACGGAATTTACTCCCTAAAAATACTGTATACTTGGTCTTGTATTTGCTCATGTTATCTTTTTTGTAGATTTCTCCCTCCTTTCCTCTTTCCCACGTGTAGGTTCAAGTATTTGATTAGTGTTCTTTCCTTTCCATCTGAAGGACATCCTTAAGTAATACTTGCAGAACAGGTCTGGTAGTAACAATTTCCCAGAGCTTCTGTTTATTTGGAAATGTCTTGATTTCCGCCTCATTTTTGAATGATAACTGCTGGGTAAAGAATTCTTGGTTGACACTTATTTTCCTTCAATACTTTATATATGTCACTCCATTGTCTTCTGCCCTCCTGGGTTTCTGAGGAGAAATATACACTAATTCTCATGAAGCAACCTTGATATGTTATATTCCGCTTTTCTCTTGCTGCTTGCAGAATTCTCTCCTTGTGTTTGGTTTTCAAGAATCCTATTACATTGTGTCTTGGTGTAGACCTCTTTGCATTCCTTCTGCTTGGAGTTCATGTAGTTTCCTGGATTTGCAGGCTCGATTACTTATTCAGGACTGAGAAATTCTCTGTGATTATCTCTTGTAAAATTTTGTCTTTTTTACCATCCTGTTGTTCTGGAATTCCAAAAATCCTAATATTGGATTCCTTAATTGAATCCCACAGTTCCATTTGGCGTTGTTAACTTTTCTCTGTTCTTTTCTCATTTCTCTTGAAACTTAACAAGTTCAGTTACCCTGTCTTCTAGTTCGTTTATTCTATCTTCTGTCCTAATCTATTGTTGAATGTTTCTCTTGCATTTTCTAATTCAATTATTTTATTTTTCAATCCCAGTATTTTTTTTTCAATCTCCTTGTGAAGTTTCTCATTGTTTCCTGATCTCCTTTGGTTTGTTTTCTGTGTGTTCTTTGCTTTTTTTGAACATATTTAACATTGTTGTCTGGAGGTCCTCTATTTTCCCCATTAACCTGGTCCCCATCAGAGAAATTTCTGCTTCATGGTTTTCTTTTGATTGGGCCATCTCTCCTGTGATCTTGTATGTTTTATAAATTTTTGTTGAATGTGGGGTATTTTAATATCTTACTATGATAATCTGGAACTCAGAATTTTTTATATTTTTCTGGATTTTTTTTAATACTTTAATTACATTTTCTTCCTCTAAATTCCATTAGGGGGCACTCTGGCCCTTTGGTTCATCCAGTGCTCACTCAGTATGAAGTATTTTATTTATGTATTTATTTTGTTAATCTAGGGTTCTACTCTGGCTTCACAACTTTTAGGCATTTTGTAAAATTTTAAGTTCCTGGGTACAGACTCTGGGTAGTTTTACCTGAGGTGGCTGATGTTACTGGGGTGTGAAGTCTTCTCTGAGATCTGTAAGTTGGATGTGTCTTCCTAGAGGACTGCAACACTTGGGCAGGCTTCCCTCACATTCATCTGTTGGGGGTGGGGCATGGCTTTCCCTCTGTGGCTAATTGCAGAGGCAGAAGACTTTTCCACTGGTCGTGAGTAGAAGAGGTGGAATGTGGCTTTCCTGAGGCAGGGTGGAGGTAACGCTTTGTGTTCTTACTGCACAGGGCAATCTGGAGAGTCTCTCCCACGTGCCTGGTTGTTAGGTAGGAAGCCAGCTGATTCCCACTGGGTTGCCTGTTTGATGTACTTTTCTCATCCTGGCCTATGGATGGGTCCCATGTATCTTCTGTGGCTCTGGGTCCTAATGCCTGCCTTTGGTCTCAGCAAGACTCAAAAGTACTCACCCTCAGTGTTTCAACTTCCCCGTACCCCTCCCCAAGTACACACTTGGGCTTCCCTGTTCCCTGCTTGTGAATTCTCACAATGTGCACCACTTTAATCGGACTGCGCTTTCCTTAGTTTTCTGGATTTCAAATCCGCGTCGTATTGATATGCCACTGTCTCTCAGTCCTACCCCAACCGAAAAGGCACCCCCACCCCTTTTGTCGGACCTGTCCAAGGCTATCTACCTAGTATCTCTGAGCTCGTGTGTATCCTCAATGTAGATGTCATCCTGGGTTCTTTGCCCAGGGAGGTTGCCTGTCCACTTTCCAAAATGGCCACAGTGAACTGAACCAGCAGGTAGGGTGCTGGCAGTCAGTGAATCTCTGCCTTTCCACCATCCCTGCTCTCTCTCTCTCCTGATTTGGGCCTCGCTTAGGTTCTCCAACACATCAGCTGCTGTCTGGAGCTCCAAAATCTCTGTCCATGTTAATTTTTATTTGTTGTTCACTGACTTAGTTGTAGGGGAGCAACTGCTTATGCTACCATCTTGCTCCTCCATCAATCTTAATTATTTTTAATTATAAAAGTAATACTTATTTAGTGTAACAAATCCACGTAATTCCCAGGTGTATAAAGTGAAAAAGAGACATCACCCCACCATACCCACCAAAATTCCCATTCCCCAAAGACAACTGCTATTAAATCTTGACTATCTGTCCTGACTTTTTTTGTCTGTGTATATTGAAGGAGTCCCTGGGTGGTACAAACCATTCAGCATTCGACTACTAGCCAAAAGGTGGGCGGTTCAAAACCACCCAAAGGCACCTTGGAAGGCAGGCCTGAGGATCTGCTTCCAAAAGGTCTCAGCTTTGACAACCCTATGGAGCACAGTTCTACTCTGACACATATGGGCTTGCCGTGAGTCAGAACTGACTCCATGGCAACTAACATCATGAAGCACATTTAGAAAGCAAATGGCTTTTCAGGATAAAATGATACCTCTGCATCTCCTCTAAGCATAAACAGTGTGGGAATTCACATTACTGCGGCAAACGTCAGGTTCTGCAACAATAAGCGTGAATTCACCGGAAATAGTCTGAGGTCATAGCCAAAAAATGTTGGGAACTGAAAAAGTGTGTTCTTGAAAAAGTGTGATCTGAGGAAAGATTATGGAATGAGGCTTGAAAGAGATCGAAATGATCACAGAAGTTAAAAGTTAGAACAATTTCTTTTAAAAAACTTAAGACTGTAACAAAATCCAAGTTGCTCCCATGGTCTCATCCTTTGAAATTATATTCGTCTTGGTTATTTTAGGCTTTTCTCAGGCTTTCTATAGAATCATCTTAAAAACAGCTGGCTGAGTTAAGGCTGTGGCACAGTTCACGAATGGATGGCTGGTTTTCATTTGGCTTGCAGTGTTTGTAAATTTTTATTTGCACTGTAGTTAACCAACGAACATAAATGTGTCTGGACTGGACATAATACTCATATATATCCCTTGAATTTAAAAAATTTGAGGAATTTTTTTCTTCAAAAAATCAGAATTCTGGCAAATCCTTGCGCACATTTCCAACAATCCCCTGATCCTGAGTAAGGACTTTAGATAGGCATGCTGTCCACATAGTATCAGCCCTACCACCCTCATTGTCCAGTCGGCTGTGCTCACTTATATTCTCTGCCTGACCCTTGCAGACCCCTGACTCTTAGCATTCTAATATATCATTATCTCACACGTTTGAAGGACTGGGGGGCAAACTGTCAAAGGTGAATACCCTAGTCTGGGTTTGATATCCCAGCCAACCTGAAACAGCAGCTAGTGTTTTGACCTCCAAGTCAACACTCTGGACCCTCAGTCACATTTTCTTTCCCCAATAGCAAAGTTTCTTTTATTTCAAAGAGGAAAACAGTATAATTCCTATGACATACATGAGACCAATTAGCTTTAATCTGGACTGGGAATCAGCAAACCCGAGTTCTATTTCTGACTTGTCCACTTTGGATAGTCAAGTGCAGTTAAGCTGTCTTGTGTCCCTCATGAAATGGGAAAATTATTGCTTCAGTTCACAGCATTTTGAAGAGGTTTAGATACTGTAGAAAATGGAAGTGCTATCTGTAAATTAGTTTGAACACTGAAACTTGTGTTTGTTTTCAGGCATTTCCGGAACTGAACTTGATCTATTTTGTTGGTCTAGTAATTGTCTGATATATATTATTGCTGTAACCCTATATTGAGAAACAAAATAGCAGAAATCATCCTGTCTATGCTGGTACTTTCAGCATAGACTTTACCACACTAATCAGTTCGTGAAACTCTGTGTTCTGAAAGTGGCCACGGTCAGTGAATTTGTACAACTTGGCTTGCAACTTATCAGCAACTTCTTGTTGTTCCTTCCAGGGAAGGAAAGGATCGTCAGTGGACCCGAACTGCACAATGTGCGGGCAGTTGGCCTTGATCTTTTCCCACTGCCAGGGGCGGTTGAAGTATCCTATGGGGAAAAAAGAATCTATCAGTCCCTACAGATAATCTCCATTCTTAATATCTAGAGGAGACCCTAGCAGAGACACAAAGAATCAGAACCTGCTAAGTGTAAATTTAAAGCACCTCTTTTAGGGCTCGATTCCATCGGGAGTATAGGCTTTAATAAAATGAGGCCTCTAGGGTTCATTTCTAGACTATGGGTTAGAAAGAGGTCTTCCACCTCTCGAAGTGCCTACAGTAACTTATATCCAAGGATGCATGGTAAATATTTCTTGCATGCATGCCATTAGATTTTTTTTTAACTTTTCTGAAAGGTAACCATGACTAGGGGCAGGGTTTTTCTGGGTGTTCTGCCTCAGTAAGGGAGGAAGGAAAAGAACCCACACCTTAATCTTTGTGTTCCATCTCCGCAAGGTGCCCACTCTACCTTTGCTGGGTGTTGGTGTTGCTCTTGGTCCCGCCTCCCTTGCCTCTCCTAACAGAACAGAACGGAGGTAGGGAGCTGAATGCATTCGCTCCTTTCCACTGGCATTTGTGACATTTTCTAGTCTAGTTTCTGTAACTATGATTGTAGATATCATAATAAAAGAGACATTAATAAAATAAAATGAAATTAGGCTGAAAGATAATAAAGACTAAGTTATCACTGATAACCACATAACCAAGAAAAGACTGTATATAAGGATGCAGTGTGATTAATTACTTTTGTGTGTGGCCTTTCTAGCCATGGTCTTGTAACTCCCACCCAGGTGATCATGTGATAGGGTAACTGTGTCCTACCAAGGGGATTGGTCAGGTTTGCGTTAAAAGAGAGCCAATTCCAGAGCAGAGAGGAGGAGTTCATCATCAAGGAAGGAGACACCTGGCAGCAGGAGACCACTAGTGGGTTTCCCAGCCCACAGAGAGACAAGGCTGGTGGCTCTGGGCAGAGACTGAGGGCCAGGAGAGGTGTGCCTGCAAGCATGGCTGGGAAGAGGCTATCCTGATGGAAGAACTGTATCTTGAGTGTTCCTGAGCCTGAATTGTAACTGTTACTTCCCTGATAAACCCTATAATTGTGAGTATGGTCTGTGAGTTCTGCATGGCCACTGCAATGAATTATCAAACCCAGTAGAGAGTGCTGTGGGAGGGATGGTTGGTGTCAAAATTGGTAAACATGGCAGAGAGAGGAGGCATGTCTGACCCCCACCTCATAGGAATCAGCCTTGGGCTATTGATGTTGGTTCTTCTTCCCCTTGTGGGGAAGGAGGAGGTCAGACACCTCCCCCAAGCCATTTTCACAAAGGAATAAGAACGTGGGAAAGAGCTAAAGATGAAAGGAAAAAGTAAGACATTTAGAAAAAATAAATGGTATGGAAGAAATGAAGGAATAAGAAAAGGGGGTTTCAGAATGAGGGAATAGGAGGGAAAGGGACAAACCAAAAGAAAAACTTACCACTTGCACGCTCATTTTCATCCCCCAAATCTGATGTGTATGCAGACACTAATACAATAGCATATACCTGATGTGTTTCTGCATACCTGGAGAAACAAAAATGTCAGCTAACTTTTAATGTTCAAATCTAATCACCAAGAAGTCAATAAATCACTTAAAAACTCATTTAACTTATAGAAAGCATCTGCTATATCCTATTGATGTTAATATGAAAAACAGCAAGAAAACTATTTGGTGAACTCCTACTCATTTTTCAAGATAGTCTAACCCTCCTGTGCAGTCCTTTCCTGAGAACCATGAAAAGGTGAACCGCTCTCTGATATGCACCTTTAAGGCCAACATCAGCATTACTTGGAGAGTTGGTTAGCTTGCAGATTCCCAAGCTCAGTCCAAGGGCATCTGATTCAGGGGTTGGGGCTGAGGACCAGGAATCTGCATTTTGAAGTATGAGACCTCCCCTAACTCAGGTGACTGTAATGCAGGTGGTCTCTAAACCATACACTGTTCAGTAGCAGAAGTGTGTCTCTGTTACCACACGCTCCTCACTGTAGCGCTTGTTTGCATTGTATTATATCTGTCTCCCCGCAATGAACCATCATCTCTTTAAAGGCAGGCATACGCCTCATTAATCTTTGTGTCCCTGGTGCCTTAGGATGCCCAACAAGCAGACGCTCAACTCTCTGCAGCCAGCTCATCCGCTCAGCAAGGCCTAGGCTACAGAGAGATGTGAAACAGTAATAGCTTCAAGAGGTCTTTGTGCTAGAACAGATTCAGGGCTGGCATTTTGTTATTGGGCCTTAACATTTTTCCCAGCTTTTTTATGAAAAATTTCAAACCCACAGAAAAGTTGAAAGAACAATGAACATCTAGATTGATTAATTTTGCCACATTTTAATCCCTAAATACTTCAGCATTTATCTCCTAAGAACAAGCTATTCTCTTGCATAATCACAGTACCATTATTATATTCAATAAAATTAACATTGATATGTAATATTTTCTGCATTCATTTTTTCCCCAGTTGTACCCAAAATGTCCTTTAAAACTTTATTTTCAATTCCTAGATCCAGTCAAGGACCATGCATTGCATTTGGTTGTCACGACTCCTCTTTTAAATTTGTTGTTTTAAACGATACTTTTTTTCAGTTGTCTTGTAAACTATCCCCTAAACTGAATCTGTCTGGCTTTCCTTGCATTGGGAGGATAAATGAGGATGTGACCAATCCAGGACCTGCAAGCTGACTCCAGGCCTGAAGCTAACCACATTCCTGACAAACACGCCATTCCCGAAAATGGGTAAGAAGCTAAGAAATGTAGCATCTTTGATGCAAGAAACATAATCTCCTTGAAGGAACCCGGATCCAAATGATAACATCTGAATATTTTGGACTTGAGGGAAGGGGGCTTGTATAACAAACCCAGGTTAGCTCCTCTGTATAATCTCTGGAGCTTGGGGCAGTAGCGCAGAGATCTACCCATCCTGCTGCTGCCCAGGACCTTGCCTTGTATGTAAGTTTTCCCCATAATCTTAGACTGCTTATTCAACCTGGAGTGGCCTGCCTCTTTGTCCGTCCCTACCTTCTGCATACGCAGCCACTTTCAGATTTCCTCTGGGGAACTTACCCGCCCTCCACCACCACCTGACACCTCAAGATTAGACTGAGGTTTCACATTTTTGGCAAGAATACTACATAGAAGATGTTGTGTCCTTCCCACTCCATCACATCAGGGGCACATGATGCCAGGTTGTCCCATTATGGGTGAGGTTAAGTTTGGTCACTTGGTTAAGGTGATATCTGCTGATCTCTCCATTGTAAAGGCACAATGTTATGATGAGTGAGTAATCTGTGGGGTAACACTGTGGGACTCTGTCAATATCCTGTTCCCCTGCAACCTTATACTGATGGTTTGGGCATCTATTGATCTTGTTGCCTACCTAACTTTAGAAGTCCATTCTTTGGACAGTTGCTGAAAACCCTGTAAGAAGCTTCACGGGTCTTGAGTTGGGACAGATTTCAGGAATAAAGGGATCTCATCTTCATTTTCTTGACAACCTCTGGCAGCTTATAAACATCCCTTACATTACAACTGTACTATTGTTATTCTTATAGCTTGGATTAGTGTAGCTGAAGGGTTATGGAAGCTGGCAAGATTCTGATATGCAATTCATGTTACATCCTGAGCAACTGCTTGGGACAACAGATTACACACAAAAAAACTGTAATCCTTTGTCATCCAACCTAGCAAATATGGAAGAAACCCAATCCTAATAGGCTTATTCAGCCAGCTTAGTCTCTACCTCCCAGGCCTCATAAGGCTAAAGAATGCCCAACAAGTGGTGTTCTAATGGAGAACATGAGGGATGTGCCTGTGAACCCTAAGGACTTGGTGAGGTACACTGGAGGGTAACAGTCCTCATCCTCCAACAAATATTGACTGAGCACCTACCATATGCCCAGCACTATTCAAGGCACGGGGGTTTCAGTGTCACAGTGAGCAAAACAAAGTCCCATTCTTATGGAACTTACATTCTATTGGCAGGAGACAAACAAGTAAACAGGATGTCAGATGGTGATAAGTGCTATAGACAACAGTAAGGGGCTAGAGCCAGCGGTGAGGTTGCTGTTTCATATGGAGTGATCAGGGAAGTACCCTGTGATAAGGTGACATTTGAGCAAAGACCAAAGGGAAGGAAAAAGCCACGCAGACGTCTGGGGGAAGAATGTCGTAGACAGAACAGCAAGTGAAAGCCTAAGGTAGGTGAGTGCTTGGCATGTTCTAGGAACAACAATGAGGCCAGTAAGCCAGAATGGGGGCAGTGTAGGGGAGACACCAGAGATGGCATCAGAGCTAGCGGGGGCCTTGAAGGCCAAGGAGTTCCTCTGAGGGTGGTGGGAAGCCAGTGGGGCCTGGAACCATTTATGTTTTAAATGGATCACACCAGCTGCATCCCAGTAACCAACCTAGGAAGGAATTAGAACAGGTTATGCTACCACTTTTAAGGAGACCTGGGGGCACAGTGGTTAAAGCACTTGGCTGCTAACCCAAAAGTCGGCTGTTCGAACCCATCAGGCACTCCACAGGAGAAAAACGTGGTAGTCTGCTTCGGTAAAGATTTACAGCCTTGGAAACCTTATGGGGCAGTTCTACTCTGTCCTTCCTCTAGGGTCACTATGAGTCAGAATCAACTCAATAGCAGTGGGTTTGGTTTTTTTTTTTGTTTTGTTTTTGAGGTAAGCACTGTCTCCCCTGCAGTAGAAACTTAAGGTATACACAAAGCACTTCCCAAGCAAGCGGGGTTACAGCACATGCAAGTGGTGACAACTCAGCCAGTATCGCACCTCATGGCAGCAATGGCCCCAGAACTGTGGCCTATGATGATGGTCTTCTCATCACAGTGGAGCTCCGCCTCCATGAAGGGCAACCAGATGCTCTCTTGAGCTGTAACTGAGGTTCATGTAAAAAAGAGAGGCTGTTATTTTGATAGGGATAATCCTAGTCTAATGCAACCCACCTTCCTACAGAGGACAACTCAGCAGTTCACAACTTTTTAAACTGCAGGCCCACAATGGGAGATGGGACTGTTTTAATAGGGCCAAAGATTTATGTGTTAGTGTTTGGAAGATCCAAATCTGTAGTTTTGATATATAGTTTTGTTTTTATTTTTATCATGTTCTTATAAGAAACTACCAGGGAAATAATAAAATATAACTCTGAAGCTAAATTTTCAAAATAAAATAAAAAAAAAAAAAACCTCTTGACAATGTCATCTCTAAAATTCCCAAACATATGTATTCTTTTTTTCCAAAAAGGAAATTCCCAAGAAACAGGAATTCCCAGGACAAAAGTGGCAAATGTGAGATTACATTTTTAAATATTAGAATCTCAAACAGGCATTGTAAAGTTTCAGCATCTCTCTGCCCCAAACGGAACACCCACACGTTTTCAGAAAGTTGCCTAAAATTCAAGCTGCTTGCAAAGCTGAAAATTAAATTTTACCAAGCCCAGGTGCTTTTCTTGCTTCCTACAAGAATTTTTTTTTTTTTGGTTTGACACTTTTTTTCCCAAGCTACTTACCATTTTTCACTCTTAGGTATATATATGCACCTTGGGCTTTGCTCTATGCTATTCCTGTTCCTTACTAGGAAAATGCTGAGATCAAAAACCCAACAAGATGGCTGTTTAAAAATAAATGTAAACTTACTTGGGTCAGGCATGTTTTTAGCCAAACACTGGAAACCAGGTATCTATGATATGAGGGGGAAAAACAGCTATAATAAGGAGCTTAATTACAACTAATACTATGCTAACAAGAAGTGAGACACACCTGATATCATTTTATCAATTCAGTAAGTATTTGCTTATTGATTATGAAATGAATTGGGTTAAGTGCTATAGGCTTACATATGAATATACGATCCCTCCTCATAAACTCCATCTGTCTGTAGTTCTCTATCTGTATTTGTATCTCTACATTTATCACTACAGGCATCTATCGCTAGAGAAGGAGTGAGTGAATGGATCTAGACAGACTGACTTAGAGCCGAACAGAGTGGGCGATGGGAAGCAGATAAATGGTTGATGTGATACAGAACATGGGACAGGAAGTGGAGATCCCAGCCTTTTCAACAGTGCCAGCCCTACTGTTTAAACTCTGGACTGGTTTTCAGACAAAACTCTGCAATTCTGTCCTAGAGACCTGCTCTGGAGAAGGCAACCCTTGAATGGTCTTATTGCCAGATTATGGAAGAGGGTTTAAAAAAAAAAAAAAAAAATAGCAAGTTGCCCAAGACAACCTACAGAAGCCAAAACAATGTATTGTTTAAAGGATACATCCTTTAAATTTTAACTTTAATTTTAAAAAAGAAAAGCAAATGAAAACTTTCAGGATGGCAGAGGGGTGGGATGGGGGACACATATAGGTGACTTCAAAGATATTGTAATGTTCTAGATCTTAGTTTGGTGGTATTCACTACATTATTATACTTCGTAATTTATACACATATCCTTTATATGTATTAATATTATACATTCATTCTTTTTTTTTTTTTAATTTGGGGCCAAGAGCTATGAAGATAGGTGAAAATTTGTCAAGGGAAGACCCAAATCTGAAACAGCAGCGGATATGGGGAGAGGGGGTGAGGGCGCGATTGCTGTAGTACATTTTTGTGCCTCTTTCTAAGAAGTAGTACCGTTTAGTCTAACGACTGAGCTCTCAGAGAAGCCTTCTAGGCACTTTTACCAAAACAAAATTTCAACCACTAGCTCCAGGGCACACCAAGTGTAAGAAAGGGCAGTAACGGAGAGGCATAAAAACACAATGGGCATTGCTAGGGGCGGGGGGCGCGTTCAAACTTCAGTCCTCCCTCCCTCACATCTTCCCCTCTTGCTTAAGGCTGACTTCCTACAGCTGTGGGAAGTGCGTCTCTTACCTGCTCTAGCCTTCTCTTCACCCAGCCATACCAGCCGTGGGTGGCCACATCCCCGCCTCCATTCCCGGGAACAATAACAGCCTTGCTAGGAGAAGCCATGAGTGCAGAGATGCCAGTGTCCCCAGCAGCAGGTCCAACAGGATTTAGAGTACAAGGCTGTATCCCGCTGGGGAGCATGAACTGTGGTATTCTGGGAACTGTAGTTCTAGGAGGCCAATAGGACAATTCTTTACTCTTTGACTTCCTTACACTGCACCACAACCCCTCCCCCAAAAAACCAAGCCCATTGCCTTGGAGTCGATTCTGACTCAAAGTGACCCTATAGGACAGAGTAGAACTACCCCATAGGGTTTGCAAGGCTGTAATCTTTACGAAGCAGACTGGTACATCTTTCAGTCAGCAGCCCAGCGCTTAGCCACTGCACCAGGAGGGCAGCCAAAAACAAACCTTGTGAGATTGCCTCAAATGTAAACTCCTTTTGCTTGCCTCTTACTACTGTTCTCACTCCCCCCACCTCCTTATTTAGGACAGGCTGTGACATGTGTTATCCCTTTACTGCTATTTTTATAGGAAAGTGTGTTTTTAGTTCCAAACATGCAGAACACAACCTATGAATAAATTGGGGACTCCTGAAACCTGTATAACTTTTCCTTCTGATTTCATAGTAGTTCTTAGTAGAACAGTTAATATCATCCCTAGTTGTTATTTTTCATTGCTTTAAATGCTGTCCTTTTAAAATGTATCACCGTTGGTGTAGAGTATATGGATGATGACATTTATACTTAGAACAATTTAAAGACTGGGAAACGGAGGTACCAATGAAATGATTTGCCTATTAAAATATGGCAGTCCTTGTATTTTAGCACTTATTATCTGTATACCTTACAGATACATCCAAACCTTACTGAATAGAAGGTAGAAGAGTGCACGTGCGGTTAGAAATGGGAATGACCCACGTAGGCCATTGCCCTTAGATGTCCTTTTGAACCTTGAGCCTTGAAGAAAGTGGTTCCTAAAAAGCTACTTTTGAGTCAAACAATGGTTCAGATAAACCCGTAAGACCGTTTTATTTTGGGCTTTGTGCTCTTTGAAGAATTCTGTTAGTTTCAGGAAAGAGACTGCGAAGGTCAGACTGGGAGCTAGGTTTAGGGTAAATCAGTATGTAATTATTTTAATTGTTCTTCAAGACAATGCTGTATATAAGGGCCAGAAGGCAGAAGGGGACAAGGAAGCTGGTGATAGGGAACCCAAGGTTGAGTAAGGATATTGTTGATGTGTTGTGAGATTGTTAACC